TGATCTCCCGGAACTAGTCCGTGCCATGATGCTACTTAATGCAATACCCCAGAAATGGGAGGCAATTCCCACTATTGTATTACAGCAGCATGAAACCACCAAACTTACCTTTGCAGTGGTGCGCGATGTGATTATTACTAAGTGGGAACAAGGTGGCACTATTGGACAAGCAGCAAATAAGATTTCCGCCATCAAGCGGAAGCACCCTGAACAGACCTTCAAGCAACAGCAACAGCACCCGTTCAAGGACAAATCTAAAGACAAGGGAGGTACCAATAAAACCTTCATTGGCAAGTGAGGCAAGTGTGGTGGCAAAAAGCGATTTGATCGTGACTACGACCACACCCACATCACATCTTCGGTTACTACAAACTTGCCAACGGTCAACACCTGCTCCACTTGAAGCACAGATTTCGGAAATTACCTCATCCGGAACCTCAACTCGTAAGGTGAAAGTCGGACAGGGAGCGCACACTTTCAAAACGAAAAATGTGTACCCAAAATTCACTAAAGCAATGGAACTTGCTTCCGACATGGAAACAGATCGTACCCCCGAAGTTGTTCGCACATTAGAGGAAGTAATTCCTGAAGAAAGTGCTGAAACCAAGTCAAATATCTCATTTGATGACAATGAGGAGGACTACGAGCACGAGTGCAAGAGAATCCGTTCCGAATCCATTGAACCTCTCGATTGGGGATCTGATGTTGCGAAAGAAATTGCCGATGCCGCTGGTCTCAGTGATAATAGGCAAGCACTTAACCCTTTCGCATATACACCAGTTACTAATGCACATACAACAGCAGCGGAGTGTAATAACCGTAGTAGTACTTATTGTATGCTGCAAACCCCCACTCTGGTGTATAAATGTCATCATAAAATTGATATTGCTCTGTGTGCGAAATGTAAAGGGAAACAGTGTGAACCAAAACATAATGTAATAACTTGGATCATGGATTCAGGTGCCTCATTGAATTTTACACCTGAAATAAGCGATTTTGTGAGCTATGAGCACATAAATGAACCTGTGATGGTCATTACAGCTGCTAACCCCCTCCAAATCGTAGGAAAAGGGGCTGTGCTCATAAAATATTCTACTGAACAGGATGGACTTCACAAGCTGCAAACATTGCGCTTATTTCCAGTCTTCCATATTCCTGGTATGAATGATTGCTTATTATCCATGGGTCAATTCCTACAACAAGGCTTAGAAGTGTGCAGTAATGCGAAGCACATTAGCTTTTATAAACCAGGCAGTGAGGTGCCAGTACTTTCTAGTTATCCCAGACGCCCCAGGGATACAATCTACAGTGTAAACTCTGAAATTAGGGGAAAACAACCAACTATAATACCCTACACAAACACATGGGTCATCCATCCAAGGACATACTATGTCATGCACAGGATAATACCAAGGGATTCCCTGATAATATCATATTCCCGAAGGAAAATCCAGTTTGCCCTGGATGTGCACAAGGCAAAATGCCCTCTAAGTCGTTCCCATCCACAGATAAATGTGCTCAGAAACCCCTAGAGTGCATACACTCTGACTTGAAAGAGTTTGTGGTTGAATCTTACCACCACAATAAACATTTCATCTCTTTCGTCGATGATTGTACATCCCATGCATGGATTATCCTGCTAAAGAAAAAATCAGATGCCTCAATGGCTCTGAAGCAGTTCCTTGCAATGATCGAGAACCAATATGGTTTAAATAAAATCAAGGAATGGATGTCTGATGCAGGGGGAGAATATATATCTGAATTGCCTGACGGCTTCATGACTATTCTCAAAAATAAGGGGATCAAAGTACTACATAGTGCACCACACTCGCCACAACAAAATGGTAGGGCTGAACAGTTCAATCGAACTGCGATGGAAAAAGCGCAATCAATGCACTTAGATGCCTGTCTCCCCCAAAACTGGTGGGAATTTGCAATTCAGCATGCTGTACACCTGTACAATTGTACACCGGTCTGTCGCCTGAAATGGCAAACACCATTTGAAGCACTGGATAAGCAAAAAACCAGACATTTCACATCTACGAGTACTGGGATGTGGTGCATATGTCTATTTTCCAGAGGACGTAAGGCTTAATAAATTGGCGCCTAAATCCGAGTTGATGATCTACATCGGAATGGCTGACGATAATAAAAAAGCCTACAAATTTATGTGCCTACCCAATAATGTGATATTCGCAGGCACCACCGCACTTTTTGATGAAACCCTGTTCCCTAAATGCCCTGACCATAAACAGAGGACTTTCACTCACATTGGTGAAAATCCAAATGACATCCCTTTGGAAGTCAGAGATGATGATGACGATGTCTACCGTCCTAACCCCCCAAAAACTCCTCAAAGGGACGTGGACCATGGTCATGACGATGACCGTGAGCGCACAGATCCACCAGTGCCAGTTCCTCCTCTGCCGCCACTGCCTCCGATAGAGCCTAGACGCTCAAGGTGTGAGCGGAATTTTGTGCCAACGCCAGGCAATATCTACGGTGAAAAGCGGAATCCCATAGAACAATATAAAGATGTTGAGAAAATGGGTCAGTGGAAAAAATTGGTTGGTGAACAACCAAAAACATGTGTAAAACCACAGGAACATGAGCCGGTTCCCGGGCCTAGCTCTGACCAACCCACTCCATCTGCCGACAAAGCACTAATGGCATCGCTATGCCGGGAAGGGGGAGTAGAGCTCATGAACTTCTTAATAAGTAAAGCTGTACCTGACAACAGCGAGCTCCTTCCACAAAAGTCCAATGTCAGAGAATGGACTTACCACAATATTATTCAGCTCCTATTGGTTGAGCAAAAGGGATGGAAAAATGCATGCCGTGAGGAATTAAAATCCCTACACGAGTGAAAGGTCTTTGATCTAGTAGATCAACCTACCGACCGGAAAGTCATTAAGAGTTGATGGACCTTTGACGTAAAGCTGGATGGCCGTAAAAAGGCCAGATTTGTAGCCAAGGGTTTCTCTCAAGTTGAGAGAATTGACTATGATCAAATATTCTCTCCAGTAGTGTGCTTTGAAACTGTGCGCCTGATGCTTGCACTAGCTGCACTTGAAGACTGGCACCTATCTGGTGTCGATGTCAAAACTGCCTATTTATATGGCATACTGGATGAAGAAATTTATATGGAACAACCGGAAGGCTTCAAAGCCAAAGGATTGGAGGATAAAGTACTCCGTCTCAAGCACACTATTTATGGACTCAAACAAGCAGGCCTAGTATGGTGGAAAACTCTTGGAGTATCCATGAAAAAACTCGGCTGCAGGCAAATCATATCTGATGCCGGAGTCTATGTCTTTGAGCGCAATGGCATAATAGTCATTATCATCGTTTATGGCAAGAACAAAGCCCTAGTCAATGAACTCAAGGTGAAATTCATGGCTATGTGGGGATGCAGAGATCTTGGAGAAGCCAAAGATTTCTTATGCATGTGCATACTTTGTAAAGGAAGAAAAATCCTACTTGACCAGACGTCATATCTCGAAAAGGTGCTGCAGCATTTTAATATGCAAAACGTGAAATCTACTCCAACCCCACTGCCACAAGGATATAAACCAGTTGAGAATAATGCTCCTGTTAATCCTGAATTATGCCAGAGGTATCAGACCGTTATTGGATCACTGCTATACATAATGCTGGGCACTCATCCCGACATAGCATATGCAGTAACTAAACTAGCACAGTTCGCTGCAAACCCTTCGCAGGAACACCTAGACAAGGCCCTGAATATTTGCCGATATTTATCTGGCACACGGAAATATGCATTAGTTTATGATGGTGACAAAGGAACTGGACTAACTGCATGCACCGGTGCCGATTGGGGTGCTGATCCAATTAAACAAAGATCTGTCACAGGATATTACATAAAATTGACAAATGGGATATTCAGTTGGCAATCCAGAGCACAGAAAACTGTTGCACTATCATCCACCGACTCAGAGTACATGGCACTATCAGATTGTAGCCGCCAAGTTGCCCAGATAAGATCTCTACTTGAAGAGATCAGATACCAACTAACCCCAACACCTATCCGTGGGGACAATCAAGGCTCAATTTTCATCGCCTCTAACCCTGTCCAAGAGCGCAGAACTAAACACATCAATATTTGCTTCCACTTCATCCGTCAAGTAGTTGAAGAAGGAAAAGTCAAAATATTTTATATCAATGGTAATGAAAATCCTGCTGACATGTTCACTAAAAATTTGGGACATGTCAAATTCCTCAAGTTCAGACAACAGCTTGGGCTAGAGTTCTATGACTCTTAGTGCACTGAGAAAGCTGCACTTAGCGAGGGGGAGTGTTGAACTCCACGCCACATTCGAGAACATCCTGGAACTATCCGATAACATCGGAGTATTAGTAATGTACATACAGATATATTTAGTAACCGGACTAGTATATAAAGAGTCGTGTATGTACATGGTTAATTAACACTAGTTCTAACCTTCTAACAGGTGAGCTGTGTAGCACCCTTAGCTGGCTGCTCCAACACCTAGGTGTAGAGAAGAGTCAAGTTTGTGGTGGGGGAGTAGCAACAAAGAAGAAGATTGAGGGAGGTGACACACCGATCACCGCTGTCACACACTGTCTCAAGGACCCATAATCCATGACATTTCATCATTCATCGTAGATTACCTGTAGCTCTCATTACACTAGCTATTTAATTCTGCTAAAATCATAATCTGTATATTCAGAGTGCTTGCTAACCATGTACATATCAAAGTGAAAAAAACCGATTGAATTTCCAATATAAGCCAATCTGATCGCAGCAGTGTCTCAAGGACCCATAGAATACTGTACTCAGACTTGATCTGAACAAAGAAGTTCAAAATCATGATTTGGAATCTGCACGATAGTGGCTCAATTTCACAAATTTCCATCTGGGTTCACCACCTATATTCAAGGGTCCTAACCAGCCCCACCTGTTTTAATTTTCCAACATAGTGATGGATTATATTACTCCCCAAATCCACATCATATATGGCGCGATGGCCGAGTGGTCTAAGGCGCTGGAATTAGGCTTCATAAACCATCCAGTCTTAACGGGCGCGGGTTCGAATCCCGTTCGCGTCAGCAGTATTTTTATTTTGTTCCTCTGTGATCCATCCGGTATCAATAGTCAAGTAAGCAAAGTCGTGGCGCTCGGAAAGTCCTGTGCATCCATCGATTCCATCCTCAGGCTCAACCCAAATCAGTACTCTGCTCGGTCCTCAACCATGCCATTCTCTGATGCAGCGCTGTTAAACGCCTCTGTATCGTCTGCCTCGTCATTGATGGCCCTGCAATTGGTTTCCCGCGTATTCACTTTCTGTTTGAACCAGGCAATGTTCAGACTGGCTTCACCTCGCGCATTTGGCATTGCTGCTATCCAATTTGAACTAGTGATGAGCACCATCCTATTCTTGAGCCGTGAAGGTGTCAGAAATGCTCTGTTAAGAGCATGGCCCAACAAGCAAACTCAGAGCCATTCTCAAGTTGTCATGATCACCAACGTAGCCATGATCCCGCTATTTTTGGGTATCCCGTTGGCAGCTGCAACATGTGGGCTGTACTCGTACATTGCAGCAGTAGAGGCGAGGAATCAACCATATTTCACTGCATCCATCGTCATATATGCTCTGGCTGCCATAGTGGAACTCATGAGCGAACCAATGCATAATCGGTGCGTAACCTTTTGCACCGTTCATTGCGCATGCGCTGATGGGTCGCAGCTCAATGGGCGAAGTCCTTACAGGAGTTAGAGTTAAGGCAGAGGGCACCGGTGTCACTGGGAAGACTTTGATGACGTGCGCTATTCTCTGGGGGGACTCGACGAGAGGAGCGCGGTCCGACTACGCTCTGTTGGCTTTCGCACTTGGACAGCTCGCCTACAGTGTCCTTGTTTTCGTGACATACCATGCCCATTTTCGCGCATTATCGTTATGGCCAAGACGTCCTTCAGATGGTGGATTGTGCGTGAAGTTTGTTGGTCCAATGGCAAACTGACACTGACGACGACTACAGGGTAGACCCCCGGAATTTGATGCAATGTAGAGGACTATTTGATGGCACTGTTGTAACTCTATCCCTGACAATGACCGCACAATCCTTCTTCAAGCACCTTCTGACAGAAGGCGATAAGCTCATCCTATCTTCGCTGAGCCCTCTGCAAGACCAAGGAGGTTACGCATTGGCAGTGAACTACGGTAGGCAAAATCTAATCTCTTTCATGTAAAAGGGATTGACGTTCATTCAGGATCACTTGTGGCTCGCATTGTATTCCAGCCGATCGAGGAGGTCCTCAGAGTGTACTTCTCAAAAATCCTTTGCCCAGGAACGAAAACATCGCAGCCGCACTCCCAGGAGAAAGTAGATCGGGCCTCCTTACAGCAGGCTGCTGATGCTCTGATCTCTCTGCTCGCTGTCCAATGCTCGTTATCCATAATATTGCTGGTCTTCGGGCCGTGGTACATTGAACTCGCTCTTCAACTTCTACTGCCATCGCATTACCTCCATACAAGCGCCCCTGACGTGCTCGCTGCCTGGATATGGTACATACCTGTACTTGCCATCAATGGTGGACTTGAAGCCTTTGTTTCAAGTGCTGCCATGCCAAAGGATGTGAACCGACAGAGCCGGTATGTGATGCGCCCAGACTATGTGATCAATATTCCTTACACTTTTCTAGATGGATGGCTTCGTTTTCGCTTGTTTTTATAGCGGGCGCAATATCGCTCTACAGTCTTGGTTTCGGGGATGCGTCGCTGGTTTACGCAAACATCCTAAACCTCTCGGCTCGCATCGTCTACGCTCTGCGTTTTGTCTCCAACTACTTCCACTCCCACAACTACAGTGGTAGCTTGAAATGGAACAAGGTAATCCCCCAGAGACGAGTCATCGTGGTCTCGATACTCTCTTGGCTCTTGGTGTTCGTTAGCAGCAGCAGAAGTGATGCTACAAGTATTGTGAGGGCAGGAGGCAAGGCTGCTTTCCTGCGGTCAGCTGTCGTTGGTCATATCACAATAGGAGCAATTTCATGCTTGACATGTATGGTGGTCTGGTGGTCAGCTTCCCCTAGAATATTACCCCGGGCAAAGAAAGACTAAATCTGATATGAACTCATCATCCTTGAAATGGATTCGTTATCCTTAACATGCATATTATATATTATAAGGGCAGATGGCGACGAATAGAGATGAACAATGTCAAGATCTTTGACCAACCCCTCCTATCCATCGCTCATAATTGAAGGCTACTGTCAGGGCATCTTTGTGGTCGAGGTATTGCGTGGTTCCTCGTTCAACGTAGCTGACGAATGTTTCCTCAACCTCGTATTGCCAATCTGTAGTTTCCCCAGCCGCTGCGCGAACAGCTGTTTGATAGACGGCAAGATCTTTGCGATCTACTAGAGCGTCTATCAATTCCTGACACTGATCAATGTAGCTGTTGCTAATAGTGAGTATTGAAGATCTCTACAAAAGAAGGTCGCGTACCCTTGGTATTCTTCCTCTTCCTCTTCTGAAACTGCCGGATCTAAAGACTGAAGTGCGATGGTTTCCGTCGAGTGTGGGTTGGATTCAGGTTCAATGTGGGCCTTCGTGACTTCTACTCGTGACACAGGTTTGCCTTGGACCTTTTCAGTGGACGAGATGGGATGAGCACCCATCCACTGCCGAACACCCTCCATAAGCCTGGACCAGATGATCAGCGAATACAAACATTGTCACCACTGGAAAGAAATATGCCTTGGGTGATGAGCAGAGTGGTTGCTATGAGCTAAAAACGGACTGTGGTTGATGTCTTTGGCAGTTTTTCTGCGATATGATCAGCATCTACTGGATATTGGATCTCAGCAGTGAATTTATACCCTGGGAGTTTCAAAGTACTGTTCATCGAGTAGGCAAAATGCTTCCCCAAGGAAGTAAAAAGAAGCGGTCGATAGTATTCGATCCAAAAATCACCCTTGGTCTCGACGACGTCATAAATGCCTCGCTCGCAGTTTTGTAGGACATACGCTGGCTGCAGGTGCTCCTTGCGAAACCAGTCCTGATATCCTCCGCGCACGGGTGGTTGTGTGATAGTTCGCTCGGTTAGGACGCCAAGGAAGAGATTGATAGCCGTTTGCTTGTCAGCATCTGGTCAAGAATAAGGTAATGCAATCTTCCTACGGGGTGACACGTACCTAGAAGTGAATTCGTGTAGAACCGGCGGATGTTCTCTATGATATCGCGCGAGTGACTGTTCCAATGTGGCATACGTCGATACGTTTCGACCCTATTGACAAGCGCACTTCCCGTATACTGCAAAGCTATATCTGGAAGCGAAAATGTGTTATTCAAAATTTCTTGACTGTGCAAGCTAGAAACATACTGTCCCCATGATCATGATACATCTCCGTCAGCATGTTCACGGCGTCCGAATCAAAGGCCAAGTTGGGATTGTTTACCACGCCCAGCGCATACAGCTGATGGCCGAGTGCGCGCTTTCCAAAGACGAATTGTGCAGCATTAGTCCGATCGAGGCAGTCAACGCAGTTGATTCTGCATATGCCGTTCTGTAAAGAAATGTTGCTGCGCCAAGCGGCCCCTCGTCCCCTTTAGATGAGTGAGGTGGGAGTTTAACCATACTGGTAGACATTCTTACTCAGCTTCGTTTTGTAGGAAATGGGCATAGGGTTCGGGTCCCGAGTGGAAGAAACCTGTCATCTGGATTGATTCTTCCGCGATATCTTCCAGATAGCTGATGACATCGTGTGTTTTCCTAAACAAATATCAGTCCCCGTATTCCTGTTGGGCTGATGAGAGCCGACTTTTTATAAGCGCGAGACATATCCCAGGGGCGGTACACCATTTTCTTGTCTTGAGGTAGGAACTGATTAAGATAATCCACACATTGCGTGTATTCATCACCAAGCTTCTTCTCCCGCGGCTGCGCCTCCTGTTCCTTAACCAGGTTAAGTATGGTAATAGGTGCCCCATATCGCCGGAAAAGGTCGTCGAAATGGCGAGATGCAGCGACGTAGAATGGATCGACAACGCTGACTGACTGAACCGTCAGCTAAGGATTGCCTCATGTAGATGTGCTCGTACCTTCAATAGGAGGTCTAGGCGTCATTCCAGCATTCTCCTGTGTCCAGTAAATCGGAATACTCCCACGATACTGTTAGAAAAGTCAGTAGCCGCGGCCGGCACGGAAAGCATGACACCTAAATCACCTGGACAATACTAGTGTAATTTGGACTGGGTCGACGGTTTTGGTATCCACTGGCTGCATCACGTCTGGCAGGGTAATAAAATGGGGTGGTTAACGCCTCCGTAACGATCTGCTCAGTTTCGACCTCGTTCGCCACGTTTCCCTGAGCGAAAAAATGAGTACGTTAAGAGGTAGACAAGAACCCAATGTCTACCTCATCGTTCACGCCTCGCTTGAGATATCGCGCGCCGGCAAAGTGCCGTGATCTGCGGGCTATCAAGGTCACAAAAACAACACGGCTCAGGACGGTCAACTCTATCAAATCGCCGGATGAGTATGCGCGAGATAAGAGGAGAGTTGCATTCACTCACTGGCCTGGTCAACATGACCGTGTACTAACCGCAATAGCCAGTGCGCACGCATAGCTGGACCGTCCTTGCCCTCAAACGGGGAGGTTATCAGGTGGAAATTCCATGCGAACCGGTCGTTGAATGGCCATTTTCTGCGAGCTAATGGATTTGAAATGGTCATATTATGCTGCAAAGTCGATGTAAGGTCATAGGTGTAACTATATTTTCGCATGGTGAGCAATTGTAAAATAAACAGAAGAATGGCTCCGACCTGAAGTAAAAGTTCTTTGACATATCAACTGACTTGAATATATTCATCAAGCGTTGCTCTTCCGCAGGTTTTTCGATTTTGTGATTGAACGAAACAGGAATCATTTCGGTGCCTTCACAGTGATACAAATAATGGCCACCAAGGAGAGCAACAATGGATCGTTTGGATATTAGAATCATGTACCAACCCGCTGTGAAGCGGATGAAGCCTACAGACACTTCAGATTCGGATCGGGTGCGCAGGGATACTTACTGACCAGCAATGCCGAAAAACACTTTGGC